ACTTTTGAACTTTAAACTCAAAGTTAAGGACTGCATGTCCTTAACTTTTGAACTTGAAACAAGTTTTGAACTTGAAACTATAAGTTAAGGACTGCCTGTCCTTAACTTTTGAAACTGAAACTCAAAGTTAAGGACTGCCTGTCCTTAACTTTTGAACTTGAAACAATAACTTAAGGACGGCATGTCCTTAAGTTTTGAACTTGAAACAATAACTTAAGGACTGCATGTCCTTAAGTTTTGAACGTGTAACTGTAAGTTAAGGATGTCTGTCCTTAACTTTTGAACTTAACTACATGTCCTTAAGTTTTGAACTTGGAACTCAAACTTCAAGACCAAGCGTCCTTAACTTTTGAACTTGTAAGTCAAAGTTAAGGACCTATTGTCCTTAACTTTTGAACTTGTAACCGTAAGTTAAGTACTGCTTGTCCTTAACTTTTGAACGTGTAACTGTAAGTTAAGGACTGTCTGTCCTTAACTTTTGAACTTTAAACTCTAAGTTCAGGACTTCAAGGTTACATGTCCTTAAGTTTTGAACTTGGAACTCAAACTTCAAGACCAAGCGTCCTTAACTTTAGAACTTGGAAATCAAAGTTAAGGACCTATTGTCCTTAAGTTTTGAACTTGTAATTGATGTCTGTCCTTAACTTTTGAACTTGAAAATCAAAGTTAAAAGATTTAAATTTGGGAGAGTCTGCGACATTATTCTTTGGCTATGAATTGAAATCATTATTTTTGTTTCTTTTATTTTGTGCTTTCCAACTGAACCATGCAAGGAGAGCAGAAGGTCTACACCCTACTTACAAAGTTCTGTTACTAACTTTTGAACCATGAATATTGAAAAGTTCTGTTAAAGAGCTTTTGTCGTTTAATGAATGCTTACAAGCGATGTGCATTAGAATGACTGTGTAGATAGGCTCCGCCACCTCAACATAATGCAACAGTTATGGAGAAGGCACGGAGAGAGAGAAGCAAGGGTTTGGGAAGAAAAGCAAGGGAAGAAAGAGTAAAAATGTCTTTTCATATTAATTTTAATAGGGCAGTGGCTATTTTTGCTCAACATTAGAATTGCTGGATAAAAAATAAATACCACCTTAAATAGTGGCTACACCATGCCATTTCTACTCCGAGATTTTATACATGTTAGCGTTCAAATATTTAATTTAGGTTTAATATCGTTATTTTAACCAGGTTTGACTCTTTTACTTTAATTTTATCATAAAAACGAAAATTACAAAAAAAAAAATAATTTCATTAATGTTTTGTAGTTTACTAGGATTTTTATTTTTATATATTTTATATTATAAATTTGTATCATTTTTATAAGAAAGAATATGAAATTTGACGCTAGTTTTATTTGGTCTTAATTCAAGAGGTCCAAGAGATGGTCCAATTTTAAAAGCCCAATATCCTTAAACCCATAAAAAACCTAGAACCTAAAAACCCTCCGAGCCGTTTTTCATCATCTGAACCTACACATACACTAATAGCCTATTTGGCCAAGTTTTTTTTTTGGTCAAAAGTACTTTTTTTTTTGCTTTTGGCTAAATATTGAGGTGTTTGGCCAAGCTTTTGGAAGGAAAAAGAAGTGCTTTTGAGGAGAAGTAAAAGCAGTTTTGGAAAAGTAGAAAAAAATAGTTCCTCTCCAAAAAGCTGAGAAACACTTTTAAAAAAAATATACTTAGAAGCAATTTTCAAAAACTTTGGCCAAACACAAAAGCAATTCGCAAAATAAGGTGATATGATCTTCTTCAACTTTAAGACACACTAACACAAAAAAAACCCTAGACCTAGAACCCTATCAGCGAACTCCATCACCTCACACCAAACGACCCCTGAACTACTCTCCGACTTCCAACACCAAAAACCAGCCATTGCTTCATCTTCTTCAACCTAATAGACCCAACTCCGTCACCCTTACACCACCAAGACCAACGGCCACACCCCCTTCCCCTATTGAGCTCCAATTCCTCGATTAAAAATCTTCTATTTCTGGTTCTACACCATTCGAATCCTTTAACACATAGAAGCTCAGATTGTTGAACTGATTTTGGCCACTAGTGAATTAGATTGGGGAGCTCACTGCTGATTTCAATCACTTCTAAGTTAACAAGGAAAATGTTAAGAGAATGCAAAACAGAAGCATGCCACAATAAGCAAGACTAAATTAGGAGAAAAAGTTGAGTTCAGATTCTCCAATTTCCAACCTTGAGCAATTTCACGGTTTCTTCCATTTACAAAACAGAACATCAGTCCGCTACTCTATCTCTTGATCTGTGGAGACAAACTGTCATTTTCAGCCATAAGTGAGGTTTCCGTTCATGGCTCAACGATTCCGGTCTCGTTTGATTTCCAACAGAGGTTCCCGGTCAACGTCCCACTTAGTCCATTTTTGAGGAATTTTCAGCAATTGCGAAGGTCCAATTCTCTCTTTGTCTTAATCTTTTATTCAACTGAAATGAAAATGGCATGAGTTTTTGTGAATTGGGTGTTATTTGATTGAGTTAATTATGATTTGTTATTGACTAGATTATGTTGATACTGACAATCATATACTTGTTGATTTGATATTTTGAGTATGTTAAATAGTCTGGGAGAATACAGTAGGATTTTGCTCTATTTTAATTAGATACCTAAGTGAATGAATATGTCATTAAGTAGTGGGTGTGAGATGGGAGTGAGATTTTAAATTAAAAAATGAGCTTGGATCATTAGGATTTTGAGTGTGATAGGAGAATCTGGGTGCAATAGAATTGGAATTGAAAGAAAATAAAATTGAACTTTCATGACGGGCTGGGGGAAACATTTCAAGCATACTTTGATTTGGAATACATGCGTTGAGTTATTGATTCATGCTTACGGTGGGCTTAGTTAAGAATATGCTTAGGCCGTTGCTACACGGGTAGGCAAACTTTAGGATTTTCCTTTTCTTTTCTTTTATATGAGGTGAGAGGTCGTCCCCATAGTTGAATTCATCCGGGGAATGCCCTGCGAGATTTGTATATTTTTATCCGGGGTATGTCCCGAAGTATTTGTATTTGGAAGCCAAAAGTAGAACTCTTAGTATTTTTATTTTTATTTTTATTTTTCATCTTTCTTTTAATAGGTAGGGACGACCTCGAGCCTCTTTTGTGTTTATTTTCCTTTTTGTTTTGTTTTGTGATTTTACCTCAATTTGAATATTTTAAAGCCAATTAGATCGAGTACGCAACCGTGACTTTCACGGGACTCGGGGAATGCCTAATACCTTCTCCCCGAGTTAAATGAACCCCCTTACCTGAATCTCTGGTGCAGACTTAGTTTTGGAGTCCAAAGTGTTTTGAAAGGAAAAATATTTCTAAAAACGGTGCCCTGACACACCGAAATCAAATGTTAGGTGGCGACTCTGAAAAATTCTTTTGAACACAAATTTGTCACTTTCATAATTGAAAACCCCTTCAAGCTTTACAAATCACTTTTATTATTTTAAGAGGGTTAGTGAAGTTGTAGAGGTAAAAAAAGGGTGTGACAAAAGGCTCCCTTTCAAGTATCATATTCACATTAATATTAAATCTTAGATTGTTTTAGTTTGGACTTTTGATGGTTTGTGGAAGTTGTGTAGGAAAAATGCTTTATCCAATTACAATTTGTTTGATATAGTTTGACTGGATAGAAAATTTAGGAAAGAACAAAGATTTTTATTTAAATTTTGAAGTCTTAAACATACCATAATGTTCATGTTGTTACAAAAATTTTAAAACTTGTGATCTTAAACATGTTACTTGTAATATTTATGTGGCTATAATTTGTTATGGCCGGCTTACCGGTAGTTCCCCGCCCCCCAACTCAACACACACACAAACAGAGAACCAAGTCTCTTTCTAATCCTTTCGTTTCGGCAAGCATGAAGGATTCAGAGTGTTGCCCCTCTTATTCAAGGTTAGGAAGTATTTTAAAATGTCTTGACTTGAAAATTGCCATATAAATTTAGTATTGATTGAATAATAAGATCGGCTAACAACTTAACATCATCATTTTTACTATAGAGAGGAGTAGTTAATCATGAGCACGCGATCATGGTATCATTTTTATCTTCCATAGTCCACAACCGTGTTGGTCTTTGACCTGTAGTGGAGAGACTCTTCAATCAGGGCGTCATCTTACACCACTTTATCGAAAAAGTTTCATAAATATATATTTGACTCATATTTCACTTTGCAACCGTGTTGGTCTTTGACCTGTGGTGGAGACGAGAGACTCTTCAATTAGGAGCGTCATCTTACACCACTTTATCGAAAAAGTTTCATAAATATATATTTGACTCATATTTCACTTCGCAACCGTGTTGGTCTTTGACCTGTGGTGGAGACGAGAGACTCTTCAATTAGGAGCGTCATCTTACACCACTTTATCGAAAAAGTTTCATAAATATATATTTGACTCATATTTTGTTTTTTAAAAATAACATACATATAATAGATCGACACCATGCCACTTGCACAAGCTCATACATAAGCCGGCAGCCGCCCTCTTTGAGACCGACCGTGTGAGCTCCAGGATAAATTAAACCATATGAATTAGATTAGTATTAAAAGCCAAACTGTAAAAAGTGGAAAAATATTAGCATTCTCGCAAGTCATAAGAACCTGAGGAAATTTTCATACAAGCTGGTGCTGTTCACGGCATCTATACTGCTAAATTTTTAAAGACAAGATTGGAAGTTTTTAATTGCTTAGAGAATAAGTCCAATTTTAGTCGAGTAAAAGATAGGGATAAAAACGGCATGCTAGGATATGGATGGAACTAGTGAATTGATATCTTTCTGTTGAAGCCTTGGTAAGCAGAGCTACCCAATGAGGTGCTCAGCGGATACGAGGTGTGGACAAACTGACCTAGTCACCACCATTTAAATAAAAATATTGTTTGATCATAATTAAGTTGTGCTGCTCTATTTCCAGACAGGATGCACATTTATTTGTAAATGAAATAGATAAGAGCAAAATAAATCCACAAGTTCTTGAAGATCGATAGAAGTTCTCTGCATATTAACAAAACCTATATGGCTAGTATTCTTCAATAATGTACAATCTTTCCTTGTGTTTGAGGTTTGACAACTGAGCAATGGAATGATGTGCTTCTCTGTTTACACAACTTATTACCTGGCAAGTTCTCATATTATGGAGGGATGTGCTTTTATATGGCGTACCACTTCCCAACAAACGTAATACTAGTTTTATTGATTATTGGACTTCATAAGTCAATTTTAAAGCTTGGCAATGGCATGCGGAGGCAAGTATGATCTGGGAGGCAGCTTTAGGTCTTCCCAATCTTCATCATCTATCTTGGAGAAGTAACGGTCAACGTCATCATCTCTAATTAGGTTCAGTCTAGATGGCTCCCACTGAAAACATGCGAAAAGATGAGCACAAGAATGAAAGAAGGTCTCAAAATATATTAAATTTCAGGATTATCCTTGATCAAATGATGTCGAACATTAATGTAACCCACCTTAGGATTTCTATCCTTGTCCTCGAGTATAGCTCTGCAACCCTGCCATAAAATTCAGGTGTAAGTCGCGTTAATGCAGTAAAAAGGGTGGCTGAAAGATGACATATTTTACCTCAAAGTAATCCTTGCTAAATTCTGCTCTCAACACATGACAAACAATCCTATACTCTCGGATAAGGCAACTACCAATACCTTGCAGCCTCCCTTCTCTTATCTGGAACAGAAAAAGGACTTACGTGAACAATTTACAAATACTCAAGAAGTCGTCAGTTGAAATGTTGGTCCAATCAAGGCATTACAACATGTGGTTGTGAAACCAGACAACATCACATTTTTCATTTGAAGAACTTGCAACCCAGCAATTCTGATCTAGTATCAATTTGAAAAGCTGAACATAAATAATCTTAATCCAAGTGTAAATTCTAAATAACCCTCCTGGTGAGGCAGTTCTTAAGCAAATAAAAATTCAGGCCCAAGGTTGAAGGTTCCCCATTTTTAATAAGTTGTCGAAATTAGCTTATTAAAAGAAAGAAAAGTTTTCATTGATAATTTTAAAAAAAAAATTCAATTGAATTTCGCAGGGCTTGGGAGCGAGCCAAAGAGTGGACCTATATTGTGGTTCTACCAATGTCATTATGTTACTATCTCATAAGACTGCAAAATCTGTATGGATTATATGCATTAACCTCCCTGATATCTACCAAGCTAAATATCTTTCTCCAATTATCAATCAAAGAAATGAGGTTTACATTCTTCCTACATGACCAATTTCTGATCAACCTGAAGTACGGATACAGAAGTTCAGGTAACAATGTAATGGTATCAAAAGTAGTGAATGACTCACTGATCTCAAGGAAATTTTAAGACTTATTGGGGAAGCTTTCTTCAGCAACTGAATGGTCGAAGAGATCCAGTCATCCTTCTTGTCCAAAGCCTCATTCTCCTATAAAAGATTCATGCAAAGTTCTTATCAAGTACTTTGATATATTATCAGGATTTCACACTGTAATTTCACCACAAAAAGCAAAAGTCCATCAAATGACCATTCATCTCCCAAACTTACAAGAGTAGATATGATTTCTTCAATTGTTCTTCGAGAGAAACAGTGATTAATAATCTTCATCCTACATGCACAAAATTGCAGAAAATAAAACTGGTGCACTGTTGAGAAAGGGGTCATGAAAATCACAACATTTTGCCTCGAGTCGAGTCAATGGAAATTTTGGAAAGATTCATCTTAAAAAACAGGAAGAAGAACAACATAAGAGCAAAATAACAAATAGGAGCATAGACGATGACTTAATGATATGCCATCAATACTATGCTATTAATAGGTTCAAACAATCCCCTAGGCTACGGGACTGTGTTTAGAAGGTAAGCTTCCAATAAATCAGCATGAAAGTAAACACCCTAATAGAGATATTAATTGAACTCACTTGTGATATGGACTTTCTTTTTTCAACTTTGGTGCGTGGGAGAAGCGACTTATGATGGCAGATATCGCATCTGGATCACTCGTACTGACTTTTACTAGTGCTTGTTCTAAAAGCGGCAATCTCTGCAAACAAAAGGAAGACACAAAGCATTCAAATTAGATCAGATATGAAAGAAATTAAGCAAATATATAAATGCTATGCAATCTGATGCATATAGATGAGTCAATGTTCATAAGGCCTTCTACCACCCTGAAATGCAAAATATATCTTAAAAGTGTACCAGTGGCTAAATGGAGATCCCACTAATCCATGTAAGAACTATTCGATGCATGGTTGACATCATCCAGAGTCCCAACAAGCATGATTAGCTTGGAACTGCTAGAAACTGTAATTCAGAAGACCCATAGAATTTTTCTCCAAGCATGTTGAGGTCATATTTGTTGGTACCCAATTACGTAAAAAAATTGCAGCTAACAGTATAGTCTGTTGGAGGTTACATTGACCACATACCTTAACTAGAATATATTTGGGCAAAGTGCACACCCAAGATTAAGAATCATGGTCCCATGGATAAGATTAAATGTCTTAAGAGAAAATAACTAGAACAATTAATCAAACCTATATAACAAGTGGCAGATAAGATTACCGTCCTAACACCGTAGCCTGACATCTTCCAACAGACAGTGGACTGGCAATTGGCAATTTAGTTATCACATGCAAAGGGGGCAATATCAGTGTTGCCATTATAATTATATACTTATCAGTTTAGGCATATTAGTAATAGACACAGATTTCCTATAGACGCGATCCAATCAGTTTAGGCATATTAGTAACAGACATTGATTTCCTATAGAAGCAATCGAAACAGAACATGCTGAAAATTAAGGTATTATACCGCTGATGATACAAAGTGGGCTGCTAGGCCACAAGCAAGCATTTCAGCACCATCCAACCTAGCACCAGTAAGACCAGCATATTCCCCTGCCAAAGAGTACAAGAAATTAGAAATTAGCCAAGGGGAAACGAGACTTAACATTCGCTTTTTTTTTTTTTTTGTTGAGAAAGAACGAGACTTAACATCTGTACCTACAAATTAGCCTTCCCCAATAATAGCAACATAATCAGAATAAGGAAATCAGGGAAGAAAAGGATCATATCTCTAGATAAAATCGGGTATCATTCATTCAAACATGTCACGATTTTTACATGTCTTCAAAGGCTATCTTACATTTGTAATGACCTAAGAAATTCATATGAAAACAAGGGCTGATTTTTGTAATAATTTAAACTTGACAAATTCAGCCATCACGTGAAAACTAAGGCTGAGATCCAGCTAACTGTCCAAATATTTGTAGGGAAAATATATTTTGGAGACTTTCATGTGAAGAGGATTGACCTAAGTATGATTAAATAATGAGTGCAAACTTACTTTTAAAATGAGGAAACACATGATCAATGAATGCCTAATGGTGGAAAACAGAAAACAAGAATGTCCAGAGAATTCGGAAACTATAAGAGAAGATGCACCAAAAGGTGTGTATCACAACCTTTTGAACCCCTTCTGCAGGAACTAAGGATCGATTTACTGTTTCCGACTCTTTCTTACTTTTGATTTCAAGGATATCGGGGAATTAGAAGCAGCATTAAATGCAAAGTAGCTGAGCAGACTATTGCTCTTAAGATAGTCTAAACTAGTGAGCAGCCAGGTAGTGACTTTTAATTTCCAACGACAAGTAGCAAATAACTTCACACTAAAACTTGAATGAATTACATCAACAGCAGTAAATTCCTTCAGAAATATAAACAATGTGGCAAGTGAAATTACCAAAGAATCCTGGAAGTCTTGATAAACAGTAAGAGGCACCTATATCAGGAAAGAATCCCAAAGCTGTTTCGGGCATTGCAAAAACCTACAGGCAAACAAACATAAGAATATGTTGGACATGAAATTTCTGGTATCACATCAACCAACATCATGTTAGAAAAGGGGTTATGTGTAATCTTCAATGCAAATCCGAGGTACCAACTAAAGCTCATGAAAATATACAGTTTGTAAGATTTTGCTCTTATTTGGCTAGTGCTATTCCACTGGAACATTCATATATTGCTGCACTCCATAAGAGAGGACACAAAGAGACAAATTTCAAGCAAATGCCAAAGAATGTGGCAAAGGGAAAGAAGACAACAAAATAAAATCTACTTCAGGTAGAGGCAATACCGACTTTTCTGTTGCAACTCGAAATCTACCAGGTACAGAAACACCAGCCCCGCCTCCCATGACGATTCCATTAAGAATGGAAACCTTCAATGGGCAGTCCAAATAAGATTAAGGAGTACATCAAAGAAAGTTATATCACAAAACTAAAATAACACATAACCTAGCTTAACCTGGGGTTTGCTATATGTTGCCATAACATAGTTCAGTATGTACCCCTCTTGGAAATAATTATCACCAAATTTCCAGTTACCTGATAAGCATAAATAAATAATTAAATATATGACTTGGGACATTAAGCTATGTGCACTTAAAATTATTAAGTTATTGAAAAACTTAAATATCATCCAGAAAGATCACAGTTGTCACCAGTCTCAGACTCACTCATAAAAATTCATAAGATAAAAGCAACCACAGATTAAATATGTCCAAAATTTCTCAAAAGAAGTTAATACAATTGACATTAGAATCGATAGGTGTATCAATTGGTTTAACCAGTGTTGTCAAAGGCGAAAAGCTCTAAAAAGTGCTCTACGTCAGTTGGGGCTTTAAGCGCAAAGCGCAATTTAAGTGTGGGCTTTAGTTAAAAAAAGGCGCAATGCAAGAAAATATATATATATATATATATATAATTTAAGAGAAAACTAACAAATTCATTCATGTTGTTTTCCTTAACAACTAATACACTTATTTGCCTATTATATTTGTAGTCTAGCATTGCTCCATTCAAGATTGTATTTATCCAAGCTGTCACCAATTTAGCAAATCACATACCCTGGCGAGCAAGAGGAACAACAGCTGTAACATCACCACCAGCACAGAAAGCCCTTCCATTTCCCTGGAAAATATTGATACAAGGAAAGGAGTTAGATTTCTTGACACAAAATTGAGATATTTGTGCATTGATGTTTGTACATTTATAGAACTGTGCAGCGTACAACCAAAGGCAGCGTGACGCATTACAAACAAAATTAAGAAAAATGATCAGCTGTTCATAATTTGAACAAAGCAACTCAAAAATTAAGCAAACCTGCCCGCTCATAGTTTGTAAATATTCTTGCAGGCAAGATACGACATTCCCTCTGTTAAGCTATGAATTCATTTTAATTATCACAGAAGATCCTACTCTTCCTACTGAATATACCTTTAATATAATCATCTTCACATTAGAGTCTTGTTCACTGGCATAGAAAAGTTCCAAAAGCCGAGATAGCTGGACAAACAAACAAGTTTGAGAGGATAGTTATATATCACTTACTATAAGATATCGTTACACTCCAAATCATTTTCATCAGATGGGCATGATTGAAAAGCCCACATGTTCACCAAGTAAATATATATAATAAGAATAACCTAATCCAGAAATTGCATGAGAAGACAGAAGATCGCGAATCAAATATCAAATTAGTTTTGTAGCAATCCTTATCATGAGTCTAATCTACCCAACTCTACCTGTAGCATAAAACTATAAATACTGGTTGAGCTTGCTTTATCAAGTTCCACATTTATTCGGAGCCCATTGATTTGAACTAGCTTGTATTCATTAGGTGCTAAAAAGCGTTTGGATACAAGTGCTGAAATTGATAATAAGTTGCTGCACTATTTGATTGAAAAGCTTTTTTTTATTAAAATGACTTAAATAACCTTAGAGCTGTTTACACTTATAAGGCATAATTTCTTCAAAATTTTAGATTTCAGATCGATTCAAATACAAAATATTCTATTTGTCATTTTATTTTAAATACAACCGTGCTAAGATAAGATAATTTTTATAATAAATATAATTTATTTTATGATAAGCATATAATCATAAGTTATAATAATTAATAAACTAACAAAAGTTTCTCAATAAAAAATAAACCTAATAGGACAAAATATATGAAGAGAAACAAACACTATCTTCATCACCACAACACTTAGAAAGCAATACATAAAAAATTTGATATGTCCTTATTTATAAATTTGAAGAGAAAGGGGGGTAGGGGAGGGGGGGGGGTGAGGGTTAGGTTGAAAAAATACTTGAGGGAATATTTTAAGGATAAAATAGTAAAAGTCTTGGTCAAACTTAAAGTGCTAATAAGCTAAAAATTTATAAGCTTCGGGTGACCAGCTTATGATTTTTGGCTTATTTTTGACTTATAAGCACCTGGCTTATAAGCACTTTTAACTTACCAAACGCATAAATAAGCCAAAAAGTACTTATAAGCTAGTTTGACCAGCTTATAAGCTTAGCCAAACACCCTCTCAATGTCATTAGGACGGGTGAAAGTGACGATCAATAAGAAGTAATTGCACTGTTTTATTTTTATTTTTTGATCAGTGAGGTAATTACACATTTTTAAGCAAATACAATTCTGACAGAAAAAAATTGTACTTCACCTTAAAAAAATCAACAATAGCAATGAAAAAATTCTCAAGCTAAGAAGGAATACGATCTTCTATTTTCTGTTCTTTTCTTCTTCCTTTTTTTTCATGATAGATAGATAGTTACCTATTTTCACCCCAAAAAAAAAAACACTCTAATAATGAAAGTTAGGGTAAAATCAACTTTTATTTCTCTGCTTTATTGAGATATCAGCGGGGGCGGATTTACAGGGAAAGACGCCATGTTCTATCCGTAAAATTAAATATTTTATTAGCATATTTTTTAAAATTAATATAATATTAATTATTGGCCAAGAAGGTTGAATGGTACACTTAGTTAAAGATTGATGAGTTATTTACCAAAAGGAAAAGGGATCTATTTCCACTTAGTACATTTTTTACTCATTTTTTTAAATAGTGCACTCATATATTAAAAATCCTAGATCTACCTTCAATAACAAACTAGTTAAGATCGGACTTAAGAAATAAGATGATATTTATTAAATATTTAAATGAAACACAAACTATAGACAATATAATTATTTGAGAACAGTACTGTAAAGGAAACAAAAAGAATGAAAAGTAGCCCAACAAAATAATAGTGACATCATATTTTTTTTAAAAACTTTTCTTTTTTTTTGTTGATCCAAGTCATTCAAACACCATTTTCAGTGACATCATATTTGGAATACCATTTCATAAGAAAGTGCATTGAGCTTGTTAGGCCTGTTTAATATGAACGTTCTAACACTTGATGATGTCTCCTCCACCAAAACCTGACAACCAAAAGTAACATTAATTTTTTTTTTTTTCAAAAAACAATTAAATAAACAACCAGTGAACACTTGAACTGGAGTATTGAGAGCACATTGGTATTGCACCTGATCGGTTCCGCCATTGTTGGAAGAGGCTTGAGCCATGGTTGTTCTAGCTGAGCACCGAAATTTACTACCAGGTGGTTCTTCTCTCAGCTTTATGTCCATTACATTGACCAGCCCGAACCGTTTCATCTCGTCTGCCCACGCGCGATTATAATATCGCCACCTTTTTTTTGTGCCTGTATTTAAAAGTTGATTACACTTTAAAAAAAATTATAGCCACAGCGCGGGGCGTACATTGGTCGGGTTGGTTCGGGTTTTGCAATTACCAAACCAAACCAATTGTGTCAGATTATTAAATCTAAAGACCAAACCAAACCAATAAAACTCGGGTTTTTTAATCTCGGGTTTTCGGGTTATTTGGGTTTTTTTGATTTTTTTCCAGTAAAATCTTCGTAGCACATAACTTGTGCTCAAAATATTTCTTTAATCCTAGTAAGATACAACTATATAAGGTATTTTTCAAGAAAATAATTATAAAATATGAGATGTGTCATGGCATTATCCTAAAATATTCAACAATAAAGACAATAAAATTATGTAATATAGATATTGCTAACTAAAAATCCATAATAAAAATAAATATAATCTAAAAGTACTAAGTCATGCTAAAATAAGTAGACTAATAAGGGAGTATTAATTATATGACTAAACGCTAAAGAAAAATAAAAATAGGTTATGCATTTTTATCTAAATCATTGCAAATTAAAAAAAATAGGTATTCAATACATTGTCGTTCCTAGTATTGAATTGAATATCTTTTGTTAGCATTAGTATTGATTTGATTTTGGTTTGGGCTTTTGTTAGCATTATTTAAGTTACTAATATTAATGGCTATAAAACTTATTGGAATATTCAAAAGTTCTAAGTCCAACCTTGAAATAATAATACCTTAAATGATAAAATTATGAAAAAGCTTAAGAAATATTTATAAATTACATCAAGTACCCGAGGTGTTGGAATATTATCCTCCAAGGATAGAACGATTAACTCACCAGCGTATTGGTACCAAAAACTCTGGTGAACGGCGAACCACTCAATGGTCGTAAAACACACTGGAAAATATTGTGCAGAAGAAGAAGGAGAAGATAATCAGAAAATTTTAGTAAGTAAAAATTCTGGGATTCAAGGCATATTTATATAGACCATATGGCACTGTTTCTGAAAAGGTTTGCAACCTTTCAGAACAGCCATAGCTGTTGGAACAGGTGGAAAAAAATTGCGGGAAACAACAAACGGATTTAAAATAATCCGGGAAAGAAAAAGGACCGGATCGGATCGGGTCGCAGGTCATGGGTTATTCCGGATTGATTTTTTGTTAATTAATTTAATTAATTAAATAAATAATTGAAAAGAATTTTGTCCAGAAAGATTAATCAATCAATCTTTGACCAAATCCAAATCCAAATCCAAAGCCGAAGCCGAAGCCGAAGCCGAAGCCAAGCCGAAGCCGAGCCGAGCGAGCAACGACGACGACGAGGCGAGGCTTGCCTTCTTCTTAACTCTTTAAGAGCTAAAAGATGAGCTTCTCTATATATACACAAAGATTTTCTTTCCTTCTTCCAATGAGAGACAAAGTGCATTAGTAAAGTGAACTAATTCAAAAGTTCACTTCCCTCCATTTCTTTTCCCACCATTTTCATTCACACCTCTTTTGTTATTAATAACTAAACCCAACAATCCCCCACATGAATGGGGAATGGCTATAAAATAAAGGAATGCACGGACGCGTGTGTGTTTTACATGCAAAAAATAATTGCATCTGGATAAGTAGGTTTCCCTTTGAACTTTCCGTAGTGAACTTATATCGGATATACCCGGTCAATCGGTAGATTTGATATCTTTGAACCGTCGAGATTTGTTGCATACCTAGACAACATAAGTCACACAATCAATTCTTAACCATCTATGGTTCTCACGGTTGTGTTCGTTTCAGCCATGAACACCGCCTGGTTTCATGAGTGCTTAGAGAATGGGCCTTTACTTTCATTCCCCTTGACACTCACATATGTGATTCCTAAACGTGTAATCTTAAAGACACACTATCTGCTCATATCCTGCCAGACTTAGCAAATCATTAAAAAGCTTTAAGCTTTATTGACTCATCAAAAAGCCTTAATGCTTTACCTCAATTTTTGAACATTGTCTTCATCACGAGAATGGGTTGAGTTATTTGACAATGTTGAACATTCATTCATAACTTTGTTTGATCTCTTTGAACCTAGATCTTGGGATCTCCAGTCTGCTAGGTAGAGTTACCGCCATGATGACTTGTCCTAGGCCTTAACCCCATTCCCTTTGATGATCTTTCAACTGCCTCTCTAGATAGGCCTTTTGTAAGTGGATCCGACACGTTATCTCTTGACTTTACGTAGTCAATTGTGATAACACCACTAGAGAGTAGTTGTCTAATGGTATTGTGTCTCCGTCATATATGACGAGATTTTCCGTTATACATAACGCTCCCTGCCCTTCCTATTGCCGCTTGACTATCACAATGTATACAAATAGGTGCCAAAGGTTTGGGCCAAAATGGAATATCTTCTAAGAAATTTCGGAGCCATTCAGCTTCTTCACCAGCCTTATCTAAAGCTATAAATTCAGATTCCATTGTAGAACGGGCGATGCACGTTTAGTTGGATGATTTCCAAGACACTGAACCACCCCCAATTGTGAAAACATATGCACTCGTGGATTTAACTTCAAATGATTCGGTGATCCAATTTGCATCACTATATTCCTCGATCACGGAGGGATATTTGTTATAATGCAAAGCATAATTTTGGGTATGTTTCAGATAACCCAAACTCGTTTCATTGCCATCCAATGTATTTGATTGGGATTACTTGTAAACCGACTCAATTTGCTAATAGCACATGCTATATCTGGTCGCGTACAATTCATGATATACATCAAACTTCCCAATACTCTTGCATAGTCCAGTTGTGAGTCACTTTCACCTTCATTCTTTTGAAGTGCATAACTCACGTCAATTGGAGTCTTGGCAATTTTGAAATCCAAATACTTGAACTTGTCAAGTACATTTTCAATGTAGTGAGACTGTGATAATGCTAGACCTTGTGGAGTCTTGTGAATTCTGATTCCTAAGATCACTTCAGCAACTCATAAGTCTTTCATGTCGAATTTGCTAGCCAACACTTTGTAGCATTTATATCTACCATACTTTTGCTCATTATCAATATGTCATCAACATATAAACAAACAATGACTTCATGGCCTGGAGTATTTTTAATGTAAACACATTTGTCACACTCGTTGATTTTAAATTCACTTGCCAACATTGTTTGGTCAAATTTTGCATGCCATTGTTTGGGTGCTTGTTTAAGTCCATAAAGCGACTTAACAAGTGAACACTTTCTTTTCTTTACCTGGAACCACAAAACCCTCAGGTTGTTCCATGTAAATCTCTTCCTCCAATTCTCCATTTAAGAAAGCTATCTTAACATCCATTTGATGGATTTCAAGACCATACACGACCGCTAGTGCCACTAACACCCTAATAGATGTTATCCTTGTTACTGGCGAGTAAGTGTCAAAGTAATCAAGGCCTTCCTTTTGTCAATAACCTGTGACAACAAGTCTTGCCTTATATTTGTCAATAGTGCCATCAGCTTTAATTTTTCGTTTAAAGATCCATTTCGAACCTAAAGGCTTATTTCCCGGAGGAAGATCAACCAATTTCCATGTATGGTTATCCAATCTCACTATTGACTGCCTCTTTCTAAAATGCTGAATCAGAAGACGACATAGCTGCTTTAAAAGTTTGAGGCTCATTTTCAAGCAAGAATGTCACAAAACCTGGTCCAAAGGAAGTAGATGTTCTTTGACGTTTGCTACGCCTTGGATCTTCTATGCTTGGAGTATTTTCCTTTGGTTCTTCCCGAGGTCGTTTAGGCCTTTCACTTAACCACTCACATTCAGTTTTATACGGATAGATGCTTTCAAAGAATTCAGCATTATCTGATTCCATTATCGTATTAACATGAATCTCAGGATTATCGGATTTATGAACCAAAAACCGACATGCTTTACTGTTTGTAGCATATCCAATAAAAACGCAAACTACTATTTTTGGTCCGATTTTAACCTTTTTAGGTAAAGGAACTTGTACCTTTGCTAGGCACCCCCACAATTTGAAATATTTCAAGTTGGGTTTTCTTCCTTTCCATTTTTTCATATGCAATAGATTGCGTTTTGCTGTGGGGTACTCTGTTGAGTATTCGGTTAGCTGTAAGGATAGCTTCCCCCCACAAACTTTGCGGTAATCTGGAACATATTAATAAAGAATTGATCATTTCCTTTTATGTCCGATTTTTCCTTTCCGTAATTCTGTTGGATTGAGGTGTGTAAGGTGCAGTAGTTTGATGGATAATTCCATATTCCGAATATATTTCTGCAAACGGAGATTCATATTCTCCACCTCTATCACTTCTAATCATTTTGATCTTTTTATTCAATTGATTCTCCACTTCATTCTTGTATTGCTTAAATCTTCAATTGCTTCATCCTTACTATTAAGCAAATAAACATAACAATATCGAGTGCAATAGTCAATAAAATTAATAAAATACTTTTTCCCACCTCGAGATGGTGTCGACTTCATATCGCAAATTTCAGTATGAATTAAGTCTAAAGGATTTGAATTCCTTTCAACAGACTTATAAGGATGTTTTACAAACTTAGATTCAACACATATTTGATATTTTGATTTATTGCACTCGAATTTAGGCAATACTTCTAAATTAATTAACTTCCGCGAGGTTTTATAATTGACATGTCCTAAACGAATATGCCATAAATCATTTGACTCCAATAAATAAGAAGAAGCTGAAATTTTATTCTTACAATCAATACCCATTACATTGAGTTTGAAAAGGCCCTCCGTGAGGTAGCCTTTTCCAACATACATTTCATTCTTGCTTACAACAATTTTATCAGAAATAAATATACATTTGAATCCATTCTTCACAAGTAAAGAAGTAGAAACTAAATTCTTCCTAATAGTAGGAACATGAAGAACGTTGTTGAGCGTTAACATCTTGCCGGAAGTCTTCTTCAGGAATATCTTCCCATAACCTTCAATCTTGGCTGTTGCTTTATTTCCCATGGAAATCTCTCCTTCGGGACCAGCAG